GGTTGGATGCCATCGCGATTAGGTTGGAGGCCATCGCCGCTACTATAATATAGGTTGGGGGCCTCGCATTTAGGGTGGAGGCCATCGCTATTAGGTTGGAGGCAAAAGTTGTCCACTTTGTAACTTGGTGCTCGCTAGGCGAGCTCCTTAAGCTCGTTGCTTTCGCATGCTTTTGCTGCTTACTCAGAATCGCAGGTACACCTGGTGCAACTCAAAGGACCGGAGGGACTTGAGCTTGCCTCAGGGCCTGAGCGGCACAAAGACTGTCTCCAAAGCAGTCTTTGCAATCAGATTGTTTTTGTTCTTAGTAGCTTCTTGTTACTAGTAGTATGGCCAGGAGCTACTAGTAGCGGCCAGGAGCTACTAGTAGCGATGCCCTTTTGTTCCTATATTGAGTGGTGAGATACAGAAGACGTCAGGACGAACACCTAGATTGGATTGAGGTTTCGTCAAGCCATCTTAAAGGAGGGCCTGTACAAGCGAACGGCTGTTCATGTTGGCCTCGGTGTCAAAGATTGAATTTCCAATGAGCACTTTTGCTGAGGCAATCCCGGAAGATGACTGACCTCAGTCACGTGAGGCAAGTGTTTCAGCACCAATATTGCTACATTGCAGATTGCACCAGATGTGCGGCAAAATCATACAGCTATTATTTCATATTATTTAGCAAGTTAGTCGCTGCAGCAAATCCATGGGTACCGGGGTATCGGCTCGGTATGGATCTTGAAACGCCAGGATACTGCCTGAACCCCAAAGGCAACAGAACAGGCAAGCGATTGCAAAATGAGGCAACAAGGCAGACAAATCCACCTCGGTAGGATGGGTCTAGGTTTTGACACACGCCGTGTTGGCCGAGCTTGCCACGTGCAGGTCATCATCACATTGGGATGTCCCTGGACCTGGCAAGTACATAGGCAAGATGACGTGCAAGATTATGTATCTCGTGTTGGAAAGTGTGTTTGGGAAACACACGCAACACCTGTGCGGCAAAATCATTTGGGAATGCTTTGCGCCCAGTTGCTAGCTGGATGTCAACCGAATCCCCGCTTGGAATATATAAATGAAAAAGGAATTCATGGTACCTTGTTGACCTTTCCTGTTGCAAGAAGGCATTCTCATCACCTGTAAAAAAACTGAACTACTCACTAAATAACGATCCCGAGCCGATACGTTTACTTACCCTCATTAGTTGAACCTAGTTGGAGGCCTCCATACTTGTGGAGTGCTTGTCATAGTCCCAACTCTGTATGTCATGGCTTGTGACCAAGCCCAAATCTGACCATGCCCACCAAGCCCACACATCCATTGGGTGCCATACGTTACATGGTGGGCAAGGACTTCTCGTTTGATTCATTTTGATTCGATTGTGGCTTACAGTTACAGGCAGTTTATGGCAGTTCTTCACCTAGACCAGTTGGCGCCAGGTCCCCCTAAACAAGGATCCACCCAACATCTCCTCTGCTAAATGAACATTGCTAAGACGCGCACGTTTGTTGGGTCGTACTTTTGAGCCACTTCCATACCAGACAACAACGCCAAGCATCCAAGACAGACTGGGCGCGCCATGGTTGCAGAGCTTTGGTCATGAACATGTGATGATGTGGCCTTGTTGTTATAACAAGTGATGCCGGGATGGAGGCTTGGTCATGTGCTTCCAGAGCTGCTTTTTGTTGAATCCTTTTTTGGCTTTCAATGAATGTTCTGACTCTTGACATCTCTGGACCAGCTTGGCGCAGACAATAGGGCGGGCATTTGGTGGCATTGGTACATATGTACATTGCTTGCAGTTGTTGCCAATTTTATGTCTATATGTATATATATATATGGTCACCCCACCACGACCCCCCACATGTTGATTCCAAATATATATATATATATATTTAATGAAATTGTGTGCGTTTTTTTTATTTATGTCACATGTCATATAGCATTGGCTTTCTGGAGGCATCTTCGCCAGTGATTCACCAACGTGATTACCTGCTATGTCACCAGTGGTAACAACTGATCCCTGATCATTTACCGCTTCGTAGGTGTTGGACATGTCGTACCTAGCATCTCTTCACCCGAGGAGGACCCACATGCACCGACCCTTCAGGCCGGACGGGCCCGGTGGGCGGGGGAAATTGAGAGGACACCGTAGCCGTAAACAATGTATGAAGCCTAACACCCCCAAAGAGGCCAGACTTTTGGGGCTCGTTTACAGGGGGCGGCAGGGGTTGGCCCAACAACGGCAAGATTTTAGCGACTTACTCTATGTTTGAAGGAGCACTTCGTCGAAAGATCATATTACAGTATATTAAATGTCTATCAATAAAGGGCAGGCAAGACCATGGGCCACCATGACTCCTTGGCCCCCATCTTAATGTTTCAGATGAGGTTGTGGTCTTTGAGCGGCTGTTGCAGCTTACATGGCTGGCGTGGCGTTTGGCGGTGGCAACTGGGCAGAAGGAAAATGCCAAAAAGCCGCTTTGACTCAATGAGTTGGGCAACCAATCATGTGCGTATGCTTTGCATTTTCAGATATGGCGTCAATGTGTTGTGGGCTGTTCTGCATGTGTGAGAGCAGGAAAAGCCGAGAACATCGTGTGAAAGCTGTCAAAGTTGGCATGAAGAAGCGGCTTGGCTGTGAGCATGTCATGGGTTGCACTTGTTTATTGAGGACCATATCAAGCATGAAAATATCTTGTGTTCGCGCTGGAGGCAACGGGTGCATCTTTTCCAGCCACAGTTGGCTCGCGAAGCGACCTTCGACTTTACGGAAGAGCTTGACAAAGCGTTGGAAGCTGGCCTTGTTTTAGCTTGTCTCCAGGCTTCTCCGGGCCATCATGTTTTCTTTCAGAAAGGCCGTCAAAAAAGCATGGGATACTTATGGAAACTTTTTGTCTCCTGAATCGTGCGCAACCGAGGAATACCTTGAGAAAATCTCGAAGCCTCCAAAACCTCATTTTGACACATCCAACGCGAGCTCTCTCCTGAAGCTTGCACGGATGGCCATCAATAGGCAACAGCTGAAGCTGAGCAAAATGACGGCAGAAGAATTTGCTGAGGTGCTGCCACCCGTTTCATTCTGCAAACTGCTTCAACACCACAATGACTAGACCACATCTAGCCCGTCAGAATCAGCTTCGGATCCAGGAGAGAAGGTTTCATTAAGCTCCGGCGAGTGAGAACTAAAGGCTTGGTTCAGGTCCAGGTCAGCTTGCATTTGATACGCGTCATGAATCCGATGTAGACTTTCAGTAGATGCAACTTCTTGGCTGCACAGCAACTACTGCAATTTACACAACTTGTCGCTGTTATTGTTTTTGAGGCGGTAATCACTGCCAATGCCCTGGGCAATGATCGGAAGGAAGCCAAGAGTGCAAAGGAGTTTCGTCTCAAAAGCGCGCAGCTCAATTTGAGTTTGCAGCGTCCTGCATTGGAGCTGGAGGCAGGTCTTCGGAATGCAACTTCGGCGATTTGTTGTTGTGACAAAATCGCAAGCTCCAGATGCTTGTTGAAACACGTAGAAACCCTTCAAGGAGCTCCAGATGGCCTTGATGGCTCTTACACCAGATCGGGAAGATGTCCTGGGATCAGACAACTTGGAAAAAGCACAGTTGCTGTTGCTCCGTCAGAAATTCCGCTTTGCAGCTTCATCACCCAAATATTCATCGGATGAGTTGCACCTCATTCTGGAAAAGCTGGAGCAGCTCGAAGCACTTGGTGGTTTGGAGCATACAAGCGCCAATGAGCCTGAGCTTCCTGACTTGGAGTCCAGGATACAGCTTGCAACATCTCAGAAAGTCTTGGAAGCAGAAAGTGTTGAGCCGCCACCGCCGGGTGAAGGACAGACTGTGACAGAAGTACCGGCATCAGATGCCGGTAACAGGATACATGTCGGAAAGAGAACAACATGGCCACAGTCAGGACAGCAGGTATTTGGATTAGAAGAAGGAAGCCGAAGAACATGGCCAGAAGTTCCCGCACAGCGGGCCGAGATCCAAGGGGAGTTCCAAGATGTTTCGCCAATACCAGCAGCGCGAGAGGTAAGTGGTGGTGAGCAGCTACTGGCAGAAAGGATAGTTGTGGCAAGTGTGGTGGACCCTCTCAACTCTATCGAGAGTCCAGTGAAATCAGAAGAGTTTGAGGCCCGCAAGAGCCTCAGTGAGAGCCTTTGCGAGAGCTTTGGGGGTAGCAAGAAGGTGCAGGGTGCAGATGTTCAGATCGAGGTGACTCAGCAAGCAGGAGGTCATGATGTTTAGGTCGTGGGCTTCCATGCAGAAAGTTCATCAGTTTAATAAGTTAAAGATTGCTCAACTGTTACCCGTTTCTTATTGCGCTCGCAAGATTCAGAATGATTGATCGTTGCATAATATGGTGTTTAGTGCAACAAGTGTTCACTCTGCATGATTACACTCACTTCGGCAGGTGAAACCGGTCACTGGGGTCGAGCAACTCATGTCGAGCGAGAGGCTGGGTAACGCCAACCAGCCTAAATGATGAGTTTCCTTCTTGGCAGGCAAGACCTGGGCCGGCCATGTGTACCTGGACAGGGTGATGAAGTGCGACACTCGTTTGGCTTTTGAAGTGCAAAAGATCTCTGAAATTGTTTGGTTTATGAAGATCTCATGAGCCAAGGCAGGTTTGCCACAGGAAATGATCCAAGCGCAAGGGCCCGCAGAAGCGCACGGGGAACCAATCCTTGAGCTGCTGGGAATGAGCAAGAAGCAGTCAGACATGAGGATTTGTCAGCACGACACTCACTGCTACCCTTTGCTCCTAGTAGCGTCCTTCCTCCTAGTAGCGATGCCCTTTGCTACTAGTAGCGATGCCCTTTCTCCTAGTACTACGGCCAGGAGCCCCTAGTAGCGTGTTTGCTCCTAGTAGATTTTCTTTGAGGAGTGGAAGCGGCTCAGATTCTGACGATGGTTTCTCCGCTCACGTGCTCTCCTTATTTGCAAGCACGTGTTTTTGAATTCCGCTGATCTCATCAACCACCAGGTGGTTGCTATCAGTATCAGGTATGAATGGCAGGTAATGGAAGTTTTGTGTACTCTAGATACAGGTTTTGTGCACTCTCGTTGGTAATTAAATTAGACATACAGTGGGATCACTACGTGCAGTCGTAGAAAGAGTGCGGGTGATCGCTTCAGACAACCCCCCTGGTGAAAGATCTCGTGTGAAGTGTTCTGGCGTCATCCGTCTCATATTTTGGACACATGCACCAGCATGGCATAGTGGCACAGTGGGGATCTTTGGTTTGATGTTTTATCATGTTTCTATCTCCACCTGTTCGAAGATCACATGTAACTTACAGCAGCTTCTTCAAGCATTCACACGCATGGCCCCAGGTAGTGATCCAATCACTGCGCTGGTTTGAGTGGCAGAAGCGCGTAGCCTTGGCCCACCGTGTAGGTCGTTGCATGGCGGAGGTCCACCGTTCCCAGGAGTCTCCTCAGCTTGCTATCCCTAAAGAGTCGGATTGACCAGAGCGCCTGTGAGCCCTGTAAACACCTGTGGGCTTCAGCCTGTACAGGCTGAAGTGATGTTTTTTTTGTTTTGAGCCTCGAAGCTTGAGCTGAAGCGATGGCCTCCAACCTGCTAGCGATAGCCTCCACCCGACCATGTCCAGGACGTTGGTAGCTTATTGTTGGCCCTCTCCTGGTTTCAAGCGTCGTGCCTCGGACAGCAGGATGATCAACTCTAGGCCTCTAGGGAGTCGGTTGGCCTCACAGCTTTGCACCAAGGCGACGAAGTTCCAAAAAGATTCCCGTTGCAATCCCAGCCCGCAATGATTCTGGGCAGCACCGCAGGTCAGAGGCTACGTGGATTTTAACCGGGTGTCCTTGATATTTGTTCCCTGATGTTCGCTGTATTTACTCACAACTGTAGCTCAACACAGCCGCACCTGATTGACATTTGTTGACGAAGCGTTCTATATCGCTTGATTATTTGTGATGGTTTGCAGTGGTTTCGAGGTGTGTGTTGACTGACATGTGGTCCACTATGTGGTCCAAGGAAGCCTTGCATACAGCGTCCTGTGCCTTGCGCTGGTTTCAGCATCATCGCTCTTTGACACGCGCTCGCCAAGCTGCATTGGCTGCCGCGCGCAAGCATCATGCCGTGGAGAACAATTCCAGTGCCATGATGCATGGCACAAAAGCGTGAAGAGAGACCAGCGGTTGTCGTGAAAACATCCAACATCATGGAACTTTGATCAACCCTACCCCAGGAGCCACTTGATTCATGCAGCATAATACTGGGTTGTGCGCTGGTTTGAGATCTACAGACAGGACTGCATGGTCATGCTTTTTGTGTCCTAGGTGAATCTAATCCAAGCCTTCGTAGCTGGAGGAAAGACATTTTTTTGCTGGCCATTCTTGGCTGTCCAAATGTTGGAGAAACATTTGCTGAGACACCAGTTTCAGCGGGAGGTTCACTTGGCTAGAAAGGCGGCACTTTATGTGGCTCGAACGACTCTCGCTTGAACTGTGCTTCTTGTCAGGGCGATGGGCGGGTACTGTAGCAATGATGCCACTAAACAAACAGAAGGACCAAGAGGTTAACAGAGAAAGAAGTGCTGGTGTTTGCCTGGGCTGCCCTTATATGGTAATGTGATAGATAGTACATGATAGTGCATGTTCGACCGAGAGGAAGGTCAATCACACTTGTCCCACAAGAGAGCGTTGTCAGGACCGAATGAGTCAGAGCCCCACATAACCACCCCCAATTGTGACCGATGCCATCGTTTTGGCTGCATGTCCTTACGCACTCTCATTGGCGTGTGCACAGGTCAGTTGTGTGTGCTCCCAAGGGAGTTTACTTGTGAAATCTTGTGAATACTTTTGAAACATCCCCTTTTAGCCAACCACCACGTGAGCCGGTGGCTGGGCCCTTATCACCGATCCTGGCAGGCAGCATGCTGCATCCAGAAAGCCTGGTGGCATTGTGCCACGTCCAGAAATTCTGCATTGATACTGACTCAAATGAAATGGTCGAGAGTGAAGCTCAGTTTACGCTCTCAATGGCCCCATGGCTCGTACGAGTCAAATCGAGTAACACGACAGCACAAATAGCTAGGTATGTGCTGGGACGGAAAGCTTCTGGCCCTGCGGTTTGATCAGTTTTGACACAATGTTTGCCTTCGCAACGTTGTGGAAACCTGGTTCATTTTGGTTGTGTAAGGGCTCTCTGACCGTTTCAGTTTGTGTTGTGCTCTTACCTTTCACCGCACAAGGTCAGCAAGTATTTGATTTGTGCAACCTGGGCATTGCGTTGGTTCGAGCTCAATCGACAAAGATACGCCCACCTCTCAGCTTTTTTGCGAACTTGATGTGGGTGACACAGAACTAAGTTCATTTGAGGAATCTCGAATGTTGCAAGAAAGCACTCAGGATGTATCACGCTTCCACCCTTGTGCTGCCTCTTGGCAACGAAGCTTTGGCTTTGTTGTGGTAAATTTGCTTTGGTTAGCCATGGTCCAGCAGTATCTCATAGTGTCTCCACGTGTTGCCTGTGCCCAGATTCGCCATGCGTGCAACATGGATGCCGCACGAGCAAGCCTTGTGGCATCGCGCTGGTTCCAATGGCGCAGGGCCAATGCGCAGCGCGTGGGCACTGCGGACGGCTGATGAATTCTGATGATGTTTGAGAAAAGATATACCATTGGGTGCATAATGGCATAATGGTATATACATGTATATACATGATTGGCACATGATGGTATGCAATGGTACGCAATAATATGTCACTGTCACTGCAAAGTTCCCGAGGTGAAAGACAGGTACATAGCCAGGTTGGATTGCCCAAACTTTTGCAGAAGACAGCCAGGCAGATTCCGATATAGAGAGTAGCTGTTGGAAGCTTGCAGGATGCCATGGCCAAGAAGTATGCGAGACTTCTGAGTGGCGAAGCATATGCAGCCGGTTGGTTCGACTCGTGGCGAGACTACTTGAAGAAAAAGCAGATGGCTGAATCCATGGCCAAGAAATATGCCACTCAAGCTAACAAGTTGAGTGGAAGGAATGCTTCTGGTATGTCGGTATGTCTAGACTGGTTAGAGGCTAGAGGCAGCTTGTGATTCATATATATATATAATTTATAATCCGAGCTTCAGGTGCTTAAGGCAGGTCGCTGGCCAGCTGGCTACTTGAACCTAATTTTCAAGTCGACGCATCGTGAAGCTTTCTCGAATCTCCTAGGCCTTTGTTTTCCATGGCAATGTGCAGCTCGTGGCGGCGGCATGGTTTGAGCACTTCAGGGGAGTTTTGCTGTCCAGGCTCCCGACCGCAAGTCATATGTGTGATGTGTGGTGGGATGCAAGAAATTGTGTAAGATTGTAAGATATGATATGAATAACTACCTATGTGGTATGATTATCATAGATGTGATCATATTATGTACGACTCGCAATTTGCAAAACAGCTTTATTGGACATAGGCACACACCAGTGTGCCTCTTGATTCCAGTATGAAGGGACATTTTGGCAGTTCCAAATTGATAAGTAGTTTTCAGCGTCATGCAACATGAGGTAACGGTAACGTTCTCCTTTTTGGTATAGTATTGTGCCAGGCAGATACTCTCGAAACTCTGCGTAACCAGTAACCATGCTCACCAATGCTTACCATACTGTTCAGAATGCATATACATCCACCATAGCCACATGACCAAGTTCCGCAGGCAAACCACAGTGGGTGCTGATGCAGCTGCACAATCTCGGGAGCTTTGGACGGATCGCTTGGGGCATGTGACGGCGATGGCCTGAGATGGTGGCTTCATGCTCCACTATGCCTGTCTCGATCACATCGCAGGATGACCAGGATTCGTTTAATGTCATGTATATAACTTGAAGGCATGCTGTTTGTCATGGTTGCTCAACTCCACTGACATTCGAGGCCCTCCACTTCTGTGGCCTGTGGTTCCAACATCACCGCCACGTCCGCTTGGCCGAGAGACTGCAACGACACTTAGGGGAGATGCCGTCCTCCGCAGGCAGTTGGAGTTTGCTGGGTGGCCTGTCGGAATAGCAGATGTCTATAGTTGTATGTTTTTGTCTTGTGCAGTTCCTGGACAGAGCCTCCTTACTATTCCCCATGATGTTGTACTGTGATTAGTGTTACACTTTACACAATGTGTTAGTTCTTGCGTGCCATGCTATGCCTGCCGCTACACCGGACACTTCGAATCACTCTTTGGTTCTTGCTGAGAGTTGCGTTTCCCGTAGCACATTCAACTCTAGCTTGTGTTGGCCACTGTGCAGCAGTTCTGGGATGGTGGTTGTTGGCACACTGTGAGGTACAGTTTGGCAGCACTGGCGGCTGTCCTGTCACTCCGTGGCCAAGAGCCGAAAAGACCGCCAGAGACGCTGGTCATTGCTGTTTGGCAGTTCTTTGACACCACGAGGCGGTCGGACACCACGAGACATGGAACTCGGACAGGGACTCGGACCATGCTAAATAGTACACCACACGGAAGGTTGGTTTGGTTTACCCTGGAAGCGCAAACTCACACAAATTTGCTGGGTCGCACTTGAGCCATGAATGGCTTCAAGATGATCGCTAGCTGGCCAGGCGAAGCATCATCGCAGTTGTGCTTGTGTGGATGGTTTCGGGAAATGGCGACTTGGGAAGACTGAGAGTGGGAGAGTGGGACAGTCGATAGTGTATATATAATAGTGATTCATAGTGTATATAGAGACCACGGCGTTTCAGAGCTTTGATATCTTTGATCCTGTGCTGAGCTGACCATTTGCAATAGGTTCTGAGTAGAGTCATTGTGTCAATGCATTGTCATTGTTTGGGATGGGTGTTGCCTCCTACGGCTTCTCATCCGAGCACTGCATTCACAGCTCCCCCCACCCCCAAGAAAAGAAATAGGATAAGAGAATGACAAAAACAGGCGAATACTGGAAGAGACACCCTTTCGAACGACGAAAACAAGAAACAGGGATCACAAAGCAAGACAAGGCCAAAAACAGGCAGCAGCTGCACCTCAGCCCCAGTGTGTTGAGGCTGAAGCAGCAAGAAGTTTTTGTTGGGCAAGGAATCAATTGTTGTGCTGCGAGCTTCTGTGAGAGCTTGTCAAGTTCTACCTTACCGTTGAAGAGGGTCATATTCCACCCCTTTTCTCAGGTGAAAGGCAGAGCCTTGCGCATGCTGTGCAAAGACAGGCAACATATTGACAGTTGTATATCAGCAGGGGTTTGGCGTATATACTATACCGCTTGTCTCGGCATGTCTCAACTGGCTTGCACTCAGTTTTAACAGTTGTGTGGCTTTGGGATGCTTTCGTTGTGTTTAATTCGGAAGTATTCCGCCAGCGTTCTGGTATGCAGTTTGGGCAGAGCAGCCATTCCAATCAACAGGCCAGTTACTTCAAACGAATGCCTCGGCAGGGCCTTGCCTTTTTCTTTTCTGGTTCTGATGCTTACTATTGCGGCAGTGTTCTGGCAAATTGTGTGCAACGGTAGTAACAGGCACAGAGTAGGGATTATCTGGGTTGGCCTTTCGGACATTTTTTATTTTTTGCTTTTTTGGGCTAGTGCTGGGCTTATATGATATAATAAGTTTAATAGTTAAACTATGGACTGACCACCACTGGACTGACTAGACTGGCTCAAACTTACTGTCTGACTCAAACCACCCTTCACCTTCATACCCTCATGGTTCATACTCAAACCACTGTTCATATGATAAGCGTTCTTCCCATTCTGAAATCATTCTGAAGTTAATTATATTATCATGGGCTATATTGTCACTGTCTGACTTGGACTGTCATCACTTCCATTCACTTCAGTGTCATACTTCGTCATAGCCTGACTTGCCGATCATGGAAGAGCCGGAAGAGCTTGACAAGTACGACGAGAAAGGCGACATTGCCCGGTGTGACTCGAGTCTGACTAGAGCGCTCTAGTATGTAACATGAAAGTGGAATCGGAAGTATTGATATGCGGTAGCAGCCCCATGGTCCCTTGATGGGTTCACCCGCCTGACTTGCCAGGTAGACTGGAGGGAGTTGATCCCTCCAGATTGACTTCAACAACTTCATCCCCATTGTGGTGATTGACAGGCGTGCTTGGTGGGAGGAGGAGGTGGTTGACAGGTTCATGTCATTGACGTCATGAGTGTTCATGTCTGACATGATTTTGTAACTTTTGGCTCAGGCCTGTCAGGCTCAGGACATCGCATGCATTCCATGATATCGGACTGAGTGACTCACTCACATATCGGACTGACTGACTCACTCACATATCGACCGACTGCTTACTTCACAGACTCCCCTTCCCAAAAACACACTGTCCAGTTCGCGGTGCCTGACACGTGGCCTGACATGGAGGAGGTCTCTGGTGGCATCGATGCGGCTGAGTCTGTGATGTGGACTCGTGAGGACTGGCCAGAAGGACTCATCATTTCCTATGGGACTGACGCCATCTGCAGCACAACAGTGGATGGAGACGGTGGCCTGTTGAACATTCAAGTCATCCTTTCAACTCTTTTTTTGGTGGGCCAGACCAGGTCGGTGAAGATGTGCAGTTTCTTAATTGCCTCACTGAAACGCTCCATTGAGGTTCTCGCGGATTGATGGTGATGCCACAACGGATTGCGCAAGAAGCGCCTGACTGCAGGGCGGTCCTTCTCACACACGACATGGAGGCGATCTGG